ACACCCAATTAACTATATAAAACAGTTACACTGTAATCCAATTGACTATGGAAAAAATCATTGTGTATCTGGTCATCAATGGTAGATTATACTCTCTGTCCATTGGAGTCCATCATGGATGACACGGTTGACTAGGGTTTCTATAGTTACAGTGTGGTAACTTCCATTTCTTCAATTCAGATTTTTAATCAAACCAGAAAATATGCCATATATGCTGAAAAGTTTCTTCTGCTTGATTTAGAAATGACATAAGACAATTGCGAGAAAATGATGACTTAAACTAGTTGTTGATGACATCTTTTTATATTATGTGAGTCACACCACAACGGTTGTGATCCTTTTGTATTATTTTTACAACTCAAATTGCAGGTCTCTTTCTTTTTCTCTAGACCTCTAAAATAATACCAAAATCAGGTTTCTATTAGTTTTGCTTGCTGATCACTAGGTCTCTATTAGTTTCTTTTTAATTGACAACTGAATCTAGGGCCACCTTCCCCGGTGTGTTCATAAATATAAATCACTCTGAGACCCTTTGCTTTTTCTCTTCCATTTGAACTTTTAGATGCCCAAAGCAGTGCCTAGTGGGTCCTTCAAAGAAACAAATTCAGTCTTTTCAAACTATCCTTTGTTGCTGTTTTTTAATAGATACTAAAATATTCCTGTCGTCTTAAAATTACTTTAATGAGAAAAATATTTGGCTTTCCCAGAATACTTTGGGCTAGTTTAAAAATTCTTCTTACATAGTCTTCAATTTTTTTTTTTTTGGGAGAAATGTTAACTTGTATTACTTGGTAAAAATATAGATAGGATTGGGCCCGTAGAGGGCACCGCATACAGCCCCAAAGGGTTAAAAAAAGGATCAAAACGATATTACAATTCCAAGGAGGTGGGAGAAAGAACTGCAAAAATCTACTGCTCCACCGGGATGTTAGAATTTGCTCCTTCTCGAGCAAGATGATCAGCATCAGAGTTTATTTCCCGAAATACATGATGCCAAGAGATTGAGATACCCTAAGACAAGTGGGCTATCTCATCAAAGATGTCGTCAAAGACGCCACGGGCAAGAGAAGAGTCTTGATGCTCAAGTGACGACATTTTTAGAATCCCCTTCCACTATCAGGGTGAGACCCCATGTGGTGTGAAATCTACGTAGGCCTTTTAGTAGTGCACGGGCTTCAACTAGAGTTGAATCCGCAATGCCTATGGGCCAAGAGTAATCTTGTAAGTTGAGATCATCAGAGGAACGAAAGAGACCTCATACTTCAGAAGGTCCAGGGCTACCAAGGGAACACTTGCCAAAAATTAGCTTGGTTGAACCCAATGTTATCAAATTCGCTTAGCTTCGCTTCGGCCGAAGGGGCCAAGTCCTTCACATTTTAGGCATAAACCGAAGAGAAGCGAAGCCTGGTGCTGCCTCTCTAGTTAAATTCGGACCGCTACGGGCTGCTTCGGTCAAATTTGGACTGCTTCGGGTTTGCTTCGGGTATGCTTCGGGTCTGCTTCGGCTAGCAAAGAAATAGCTATATAAATATATATTTTTTAAATTTTTTATATATTTTCATATATTTTTTATTTTTCCATTATTTGTATATATTTTACATATAAAAATCTAATTTATTTATACTAAATGAAAAAAAAAAAGTCTGAAGTCTTCCCCCGAATCAGCCGAAACACCGAATTGCTTCATTTTTCTCATCAAACCGAAGAAGATTCTGAAGCGAATCTGACAACATTGGTTGAAACTGGTTTGGGTGGCCTCCAAAAAGAAGCTCGCGAGATCTTGGGCCTGGCCACCTGAAATAAGTTGTTCCAGTTCCTAAAGAAATCAGAATAGGGGAAATTCTTGAACAAGCTATGGTTCGTGGTCCAGAAAGCCACTAAGTTCCTAACTTTGTCAGCCAAAGACAACCGAAGATCTCTCTCCTCTGAATATTCTGTGGTCCCTTCAATCCACAGAACCCACGTTGTGGTTGAAAGAGGCTTTTTATAGTTCCCTACCTGCCTTGAGCCAGGGGGTATAGAAAAAGGCCTGGAACAAGTGCAGAATTGATCTAGGAGTGACCCATGTCCACTGGAAAAGGCTCAGAAGATACTACCATAGGGCTCTAGCGAACTCATAATGGAGAAATAAGTGTGCATTGGATTCCTCAGCCTCCAAACACTTAGAATATCTATTGGGGCATAGCAGTTCTCTTCTTTGAAGCATATCTACTGTCAACAGCCTCTCATGAATTGCAATCCAGAAAAAAACCTGAATCCTAGGGGTTAGGATGGGGTTCCAAGCCTTTGCTAGCAGAGAAGGGCTGGGATCAGCACTAATGGGGTTGGAGGTGAGGGTGCGAGTGTATGAAAGAAAGAGGAAACCGTAAAGATCCCCGAGGGTAAAGGTTCCCAAATTATCTTGTCGGCACCTGAAATTGGGAGGACCACTGGGTGGAGGATTTCTGCCAATGCCGCGAAGTCCACATAATTGTTAAGAGGTCTCCTGAAATTATGCGACCAAGATTTGTGATGATCCGAGAGGCCAAAATTTTCTGTCACAGTTGACTCGGCATCATGTGCTATAGAAAATAGGTTAGGGAACTGATCTCTAAGAGGCCTGCTGCCGACCCAGGGGTATCATTCCAGAACTGCTTCGCACCCTAGTCCCCTCTCTTGGGCGAAACCGAATGAAGCGTAAGAACAGGTCACGACACCTTAGAATAGTCTTCCAGAAACCAGAAGTAAGCCTGCTGATTCTGCATAAAGGCATCTAGGTATCATTGCCATGGCAATACTTGTGCTTGATTACGTCTCTCCAAAGGTGACCTGGGTGGGTCGCATACCTCCACCACCACTTGCCCAAGAGGGCTTTATTATGGCCCCTAAGATTGCCAATAACCAGCCCCCCCGTGCCTTGGGCAAACACAGTTTGGGCCAGGCTATAAGGTGGAACTCATGCCCGTGCTCTCCAGACCAAAAGGAATCCCTCAACATTCGCTCTAGTCTAGCAGCCATAGAGGCGGGGATACAAAATAAAGACATCCTGGAATACTGGTGTATTGGCTAAAGTAGCTTTGATGAGCATGAGCCTTCCCATATTGTCTTCATTCTCCATATTTAAAAAGTTGTCCTTAAATGTTCAAAATAATCATTGCAATATTTTTCTTTAATCCCTTCGTTGTTGCACATTCTATGTTGTAGCAAGTTCCTGCATGCAACTCTGCACGTTTCCAATTTAGATAGAGTCAAGAAATTGTAGACTTGCCCATGATCCTTATGGCTCTAATTACTACCTTTGGCTCACAAAGCTCCAAACGTATAATGGCTGGCATTACTTGGGCCTTAGATGTACATGCAACCTCAACTGACGACCTCTAATGAACAAAAGCAGCTGTGCTTTATTAGCTTTATTCTGACATAATTTCATCTCTCTTGCACTGCAGTTTCAGTTAATTTGTGGTAATTCATGAAGTGAAAACAAAGTTTCTTTTCGCAGAATCATGGTTCATTCACCATTTGATTATGGTCAAGTAGATGATGATAGATTTTGAGTCAAAACATGTATTCATCTTTATGGATGCGCTCCTAGTTTTGGTTTCCAAATGAGGGTTCATGTTTTTGGAGTGGCAATTCTGCCATAGTTGCAAAATTTCTTCAACTAAGTGATATGGTTAGAGATTTCATCTCACGTTTTATGAATGGACCAGCTGCCTTCTTCATGTTGAGGGTTAGCACCTATTCATTCATTCCAGCTGCCTTCTGCATACCTGCATTATCATCGTAGCATTATCAAGTGGTACATTGAGATTCTTTTACACAATGCCGTTATTCAGAGGTGTGAATATCCTTTGGATGCTTGGACTTGTATGCTACTGCTTTTATTGGGGAGTATCGCCCTCTTGCTTGCTCATACAATGTCCTATCACTAGTTCAGATTCTATTGGCAGCGATGATAAAATTTGAGATAACTCGGACATTTATTTTGAAATGGAGGGAAGAGTTACTTTGGCTCAGAGTGGAGACAGCTATGGCATAGAAATGAAGGGAAATTTATCCCCCCAAAAAAAATCAACTTCTGACCTTCAAGTCCGAAGTTGTTATAGATTATTGATAGAATGTTTAATATCATACTAAGCATTGTAGGATATTCAAAATCATATATTAAGAGGATCATGTCATATAGTAAGAAGATCATATAATGCATGGATTTTTGTTCACATAAATAGTAAAATACTCGGATCATGCAATACATCATAAAAAATACTCGGATCATGCAATACATGCATTGTATGATGTTCATACCATATAGTAAGAAGATCAAAGGATTTTTGTTCACCTAAATTGTAAAATACATGGATCATGCAATGCATGCATTGTATGATGTTCATACCATATAGTAAGAAGATCAAATAAGCTTCCGAAGTTGATTTGAGATAGATTTGTGTGAACCAAAACCAATATCAGACTTTGTAGGTCCGAAGTTAATCTTTGGAACAACTTCGGACCTTCAAGATCCGGAGTAAGTTTTGAGAAAAAAAGAAGAAGATAAAACTTCGGACCTTCAAGGTCTGAAGTAGGGGCAATTTGGTCAAAAATAAAAATCGAAAAAACGGTATGGACTTTAAAACAGAAATTTAAGGGGAATTTTTTAATTTTGGGAATTTGGGGGGACGTGTGTAAATTGCTCTAAAATGAATATGAATGAAAGACAGGCTAACTATGTTTGTGTGGAAGCCAAACAAAAGTGTGTATAATTTTGATACAATCGTTCTTTATAGAATTTATGTCTGCTTCCAATAAATTTAGACACCGCTAAAAGTTCCAACATACGAGGGACTCATTCCTCTTGTGCTTGCAGCTCTAATTTGCACTTTTATCCATCGTCGTCATCATCATCATCGTCATTATCAAAAAATCATTATCATTATATAGGAAACCATCTTGATCATATCACATGTATTTTATGCACATAAGAATAGCCCACTGACTCATTTATTTGATTTCTTAATATCTAACAGGAGTTCGATCTTCGCTATGCTATCCCCCTCCAATTCTTCAATGCAGCTTTAAACTTGGGCATCTCGACTGGAGTTGTCACACCTTGGGGAAATGGGTTCTTGCAACGACCCTCCCCTTTGTTCGAGAGATTCTTCATAGGGGGCCACTCCTCTCCAATGGGCACCCTAAATGGGCCTACCTCTTTGCTAGGATTTAAGACAAGAGGGTTGGGTCCCACTGAGCCCCGAAGGCTAATCACCAACGCATCCAATAGGGAAGAGCCAGCAAATGAAGTTGGAAGGGATGTAGTTGGAGGTGACCTTGCTGTTACTGCCTTCGCAGACATCTCCTTTGATTTACCAGTTAAGATCCTTAAGGACATGGGGATCCATGGCCATGTGTTTGCATCGGCAGGGAACCTTGTGAAACTAACAGAGAATGAATTTCAAAAGTTTTCACTCCAAAAGTTTGGAGAAACATTTCGAAGCTCTGCTGGTGGTGGTATTATCATCCCGACAAAGTTGTTCCGCATGGAGGTATTTCATTCATATTGATCCATCTTCTAAATTTTTGGAGGGAAACTATCAAAATGATGCCTGGAAAACCTGCATATTTGTGCAGGTGTGCAAGAAACTTGGAGGCTTGGAACAGTGACTGGATCCATCTTGTTTATTTTATAGTTGTTTAAGTGACTATTTCTGTAGGCCATTTTACTAAAATGCCCTTCCTTGTCCTTAAGGAGCTGGGATAAAAGAGTTATGTCGGAAATAGAATAAGGGGCCCAGCACTGGTTTGAGCTTCTAATTTTCTAGGTCACCTGCACAATTTATGCAGGTGTTTCAATCATTGTTTTGATTTTATACCTTGTTCAAAGAGCTTGTGAAAATATTGTGATGCACTTAAAAGAAGAAATTTTTGCTTTGTAATGGAAGTTGTTTCCCTTTTTTGCATATTTTGGAAAAAAAGTATTATGCTTAAATGTGAAATATAATTATACAAGAAGTTAGGAATTTGAAGAAAAATCAATTCAAAGGGAGTCTCCTTTTTTAAAATATAAGGAAATTTCCCAAATTATAAGGGAGTTTTCTTTGAATTCCTTTTTTTTTCTTTTTTTCTTTTTTTAAATTTTCTTAAATAAACGTTGTCCTCACAATATATTGAGAAAACAATTTGGAAACTCTCAGAGTAAACTTCCTTCCTGAGGATGAGATTTGTCTCTATGATTTCACCTTATCATACATTCTGAACAAGCTGAATTTTTAGGAAGTATACCATATCTCAATGCGGTGTTCTATACGATTCACAAAAAGGGGCATGAACAATCCAACTGTGTCCATGGATGGTGGATTCTAAGCATCTTTCCTGATGTCAGGCACTTCTATGGGAGTGGTTGATTACCACTGCGTACCAAGAACCAATGCAGGATGCCCCTGTTGTGTGTCATATAGCCTACATTCGTGAATGGTATATTTATGTGAATTAACATTTTCTTTAGGTATATTGGATGATTAGAGCTACCTCTGAGAGTTATATGTGTGGTTATATTGGATGATTGGTGCTGCCGCTGAGAGTTGTATGTGTGGTTTTGTGCAGATAAATTACTGTTACATATTGAAGCAACTTGAACATGACCGGGGGAAAACTGGCATACAGTTCAGCTTCTCTTCCCCATCATAGATAGAACTGTTTTTATTTGAAGGATGATTATTGAATGCGACCATTTTTTCCCACACTTTTTGGCCGTGTGCAAATAAGTGAATTTGCAGCAATTTCTTATCTGAGAACTTTTGAGTAATTTCAGAGAGAAATAGACAAGGATACTCACATCGGTCCGGCTGATATTTTTGTTTGTCACCGAAGGTGTGCTTATTGAAACTTGAGTTTCTGCTTTGCTTTTGTCATATTTTCTTTGTCTACTTTTTTTGTAAAAGATAAGAAAATTGATGTATGTGTTTTGATATCAGAAATTCAAAATCAGGAATCTCACTTTAGAAACTCATCAGTGCTCTCTCTCTTTCTCTCTCTCTCTCTCTCATCAGAAATTCATTAGAATCTCGCATTAGAAACGCAGAAGTGCCCACCATGTATCTGAAAGGGAGTTCCATTAAACATGTTGCTGTTATCATAGTGACATTGCACCCACTCCATCTATTCCATGACATTGTTGACCTTGTGCAGAATATCTATGAAACTGATCAATTATTTGGAAAATGAAAAGCCACAAGCCCCGTTCTTCTTCTTGTTATAATATTGTGCCACATTCTAGGAGCAAAGAAAATGGATTAGGTGTAATGTAATACGAGAACGAAAAAGTTTATATCGAGTTGAGGCTCTAAACAATCAAATTAGAGCCCACCTCAAAAATTTCACTAGAAGAGGTTGTTTTGATGACCAAATATCTTCAATTTGATCATCTTGACATCAAGATGCATGGACATGAGAAAAAATGGATTTCAAGTTTTGGAAATCGCATATTTCGGTAATGTAATTTTTGGACCGTCAATTTCAAGATTTTTAAGTTTTTATAGATCTATTCGTTTTATACTATTTTTGAAGCTTTAAATTTTATAATTAAAGATGAAAATATATTTTAAATCTATAACAAAAATTTTCAATATTGAAATCACATTTCTCGACACTATTTGAAGGTGCACTTTGATTGTTTAGAGCTTCGGCTTTATACAAACCGCACCCATACAACAAAGGGGGGAAACTGTTTTATGTGTTGGGGGATGCATTCACACATTGCATCCCCACAGCGTAAACCATCCATTTTACCCACATTTGCATCCCCCGTGGCGTAAAACATCCATTTTAAAGATGGACACAAATGGGTAGTCCCTAAAAAAAGCTATGACCAATGGTCTAATTATTTTCTTTGTAAAACTATCATTTTCGGTTTTTAATTGTTTTATTTGTTATATATATTCAGGATCTCCATCTTAGAGATTATATGTACTTGAAAAGTGAGGATTAAAATGCATCTCAAAAAATGGATTTTTAAGAGGGGATTTATAGAAATGTGGTCCAGAGGTATAAACCATCCATCTCAAAGATGGATGTAAATAGGTGGTCCATTTGAAAACAATTGTACCTAACGGTCCAAATGTTTTCTTAATAAAATTATTATTTTTAATTTTTAAAATTTATTTATTTTTCCATATTCATGATCTTCATGTTAAAGAGCATATATTCTCAAAAAATTAGAATTAAAATTTTTTTTGACAAACGCACAAGATTTTTATTCAAGATAAACTAGCACGGTTACAATGATAAAGCTGAAACAATCAAATGATTAGCATGAACACCATCATTAGCAAGAGATTCAGCTCTCCCATTAGCTTCCCTATAAACATGGTTAAAACTAGCCACCTGATTTCTACAGCAATCCATAACCTGCATCCACTGCTTCCTATAACTTCATGGAGGCTTACTCAAACCCGAACCAATTAACAACATTAAATGAGTCCCCTTTAACCACTCACCCTATTAGAGGATACTTGTATTTTAGAATTTTAATCCCCTGAAGAACAACCATAAACTCAACATTGTTAGCGGTAGCAATCCCACAAGGACCATAAAAAGATAAGATTTCCCTACCCGAAGAGTCATAAACAATACCTCCCAAACCATCAGGCCCAAGATTCCCATAAGAGCTCCCGTCAAAATTGAGTTTGATGCAGCCCCTACTAGGTGGGATCCACACCCTTCGGATCACTAGTCGATGTTTCCTAAAAACCATCAAAGATCTAAGTTTGATCCAAAAAAACCATCAAAGATCTAAGTTTGATCCACACCCTTCGGATCTCTAGTCGATGTTTCCTAAAAACCATCAAAGATATAAGATTTAGAAACATATCAGTCGTAGAGATCCCCAAATCTTCTTTAGTGACAGATAGCCACAACCAAATATTTTGTAAGATCCTCTCATTGATCATAGACAACTCGAGCCAGCTACCCTCAAATATCCGTCCCTTCATTTTAGGCCAAATCTCCCATAAAATTGACGCTCGAAGTAGTCGCCAAATCGTAATGCCTACCTTTGGCAAAAAAAAAAGAAAAGAAAAGAAAACGGAATAGGTAAATAATCAATTATATGGGTACGTTGACCATGCAAAGGTAATGAAATACCTATGAAAAAAAAGAGCCCACTTCCATATTTCATATGTGTTTACAATCTAGAAATAGACGGTGACCAGTCTTTTCATCCTCTTTGCATAAAATGCATCAATTAACAATTATTTTTTCCCTCTTCCACAAATTATCCACAGTAAGTACTTTATTTTGGGATAGGGTCCAAAGGAAAATCTGAATCTTATATGGCATGTGCCATACTTCCAAATGGATTTTAGATTAAGCAGTTCCATCTAACTCTATCTTGATATAACAAAAGATAGATAGACCTTACCGAAAAGGTATCATCATTCGAAAGCTCCCAAATCACCTCATCATCAAATTCCCATCAAATATTGGTTATGGATAAGTCCCTCATAAGATCACAGAACTACACCAAAATATTGTCAGGCACACTATTATACATGAAACGAATGTACCATAACTTTATCAGCACCCATATCATTGGCATGTACCACTTTCAAGGACAAGTTAGCTGCTTTTCCAAACAGTTCTCTATATTGAACGTTTAATAGGTTCGGTTCCACCCAGCCATTTGTGGTTTAATAGGTTCGGTTCCACCCCAGCCATTTGTGATTTCATAACTCCACCGAGGAACCCAACTAACCTCCTACCTCACATTTCTCACCACCACTTCCTTTTGCGCATAGATACCTTTTCAAATTTGGGACCTTGTGTTTCTTCCTCCACCTCTTCTAATAAACCCAGACCGCTTTACTCCATATTTAGCCACCACCTCTTTCCATTGCTGATCATCTCCCATCAAAGACCTCCACCACTACTTCGCAAGTAAAGCTTGATTCACCAGTTTGACCTTACGAATTCCCAGCCCCCCTTTCCAACTTCGGGGTTCATACTTTATCCGAACTTACTAAGTGATTTTTTCGATCACCATCGAGAGAACCCCAAAAAAAATTCCACATAAGACATACTATTTCTTTGACCACATTTGCAAGCAAATGTAGCCAAGATCACAAGTAAATTGGCATATTTGAGAGAGTCGATTTAATCACGGTCACTCGGCCTCCAGGGAAAGGAATTTGGACTTCCAAAGATCCAGTTTAGTATGACCTCTCTTCAGAGGGTCTCAGATGGCTCTATTAAGTCTAGAATCCAATATGGGGATACCAAGATAAGAGATGGGTCTCAGACTGCTCGGCAGTATATTATTATTGGTGTGGTTTCTATAAGGTTGCAATATTAAATAATCCATTTAAAGTGCACTTTCAAATTTTATCATAACATATAATTTCGATGTAAAATATTTTTAAGATTGTCTCAAAATATATTTTCAAATCTAATTATAAAATTTGAACTAAAAAAATAATTAAAATCAAGTAGATCTATAAACATATGAAAATCTTGAAAATATACCGTCTAAATAATGTGTTATAAGATGCACCATTTTTGGGACTCAAAATCTTTTTTTTTTTTTCCATAGTCATACATCTCAACGTCGAGATGATCAATTAGAGGGTTTTTCAACATTAAAACAACCTTTACCGATGGATTTTAGAGGTGTATCCGTAGTTCTACATTTTTAGGTTGCAACCTTATATAAACTTTTCCCTATTATTATTCCTGACTTATATATCTTTATCATCATTCCACGTATTGATTGGACGTTGAGGATTTCGTGGCCAGATCATGTGGACTACATTACAGAGAGAAGAAACAGAGTATATTCAGCAAGTGAAGCAACCGTCTGATGGACTCCATCGTCCGCATTAGAGCGAGCCTGAAACATATGGAAAATTGAGTGTCTATAGTTTGCTCCCGCGGGACCATACGGTAAAAGGACGGCTCGAAGAGCGAGAAAAAGAGCTTCAGAGAGAGACACTCATTTTAGAGAGAGAAAGAGGAGAACGTTAGAGATGACTGGCGACACACCTATTTTGAATTCAAATGCGAGATAGGCATCGCGGTAGAGAGAAATAGATTAATGGAAGTTGAGTGTGAGAAAGAGCTATTTGCTTCCATTGTAGCAACCATCAATGCTTACACAGGCACCGATCCCCTCCGTCCATGGCTCCAGTTATTCCTCTCTCGCTCTCTCTCTCTCTCGCTCTCGCTCTCTCTCTCTCTCTCTTTCTCTATTCGAATTTTTCGTTTTTCTCTGTAAATTACTTCTCTCTGTCTATTTTTTTTAATGTGCTTCTCTCTCTATGTTTTATCAGAATTTACTTCTCCGCCTATTGATCTCTTCTCTTTTTTTCTTTCTCTTCATTTTTCTCAGAGGTATACGACGGTTAAGAAAATCCATTCCACCCCATCTCCTGAACCAGAAGCTCCCTCGCTTCCTCCAAAAATGCGTGCAGACCTTCCAATCCGACAGGCGTTATCGCGACGACCTCCGATACCTCCAAGTCTGGATCCAACTGGTAATCCCTAACCCAAATTCCTTCTCTATTTCCTAAAAATGGCGTTTAGCCTATTTTTTTTACTTCTATGTGCTCTAAAAATGACGTTTCCCTATTGATTTGCTTCTCTGTGCCCTAGAAATGCAGTTATCCTTTCTCCTCTGGTTTTTGTGTCCTGAAAATGGAGTTTTCCTCTTTTATTTGTTCCCTAATAATGGAGTGTTGGTTCTTTATTGGCTTATCTCTGCAATGGCTATGGATTTTTTTTTAATTATTATTTGTTTGCTTCTCTGTGCCCTAAAAATGGTGCTTGCCCCCCTTTATTTTCTTTTCTGTGCCTTAACAATGGAGTTTTCCCTCCCTTCTGTGTCATCTCAGATGGATTTTGTGGACAACCCTGGGGAGTTACTTCACTTGCTGGAGAAAAAGAAGATTGGGGCAAAACATGCTTTGTATTACCAGGCTTTTGCCTTGTACTATGAGAGGCTAAATAGATTTGCTGAGGCCGAAAAGATTTATCAGCTCGGTGTGCAGAGGTAATCTCTTTTGCTTTCCCTTTTCTTTCTTTGAGTTTCAGATCTTTATAGAACTTGTTGTAAAGGTGATATGAACTTTGTTTGTAAGAAACTTAAAATTGGGGTTCTCCTGGTATGGATGGATTCTTTTATTCCTGAAAATTAGCAAGACTTGATTTTTTTTAGTCCTAGGATATGTGGTCCAAAGAAGAATTTCTTTCTTGGATAAATATTTGAAATGTAATTTGCACCAAACAGATAGAGAAGTTCCTTATATTAATTACAATTATTCATGCACGTGAACTTCCTTATGTGATACAAATCGAGATACTCGATGCATTGGGCTGTGGATTCAAAACCAAAACAATTCGAGATTTATTACATGAGGAATCAGGAATCAACAGTTGTTGAATCAAAAGATTCGATAAATGTTGGAATCAAGATTCAAACAAGTTGGGACTCAGATTTCATAAATAATGGGATCAAGATTCTGAAAAGGTTTGAAATAATATTCTTAAATTAAGGAATCGAAGTTCCTAAGTTCTAGGAAATGGGTTCCCTGAAGATTTCTTGTTGGAATCGCCGAATTGGGGTTCCACACCAGAACTGCTACCTCGTCAGGGAGATTCTTGTAACTATGGTTTGAAACCCCTTTGATCTATACTTTTTGTAAGGAATCAAAGCGGTCCATAACTATTGGTTCCAGACCTCTTTGACCTATATTTTTTTGTAAGGAATCAAAGCAGTTTTGGAACTACAAGTTCCAAACTGCTTCGATTCCTTATGGTGAGTGATTCAGAACTAATAGTTTCGGCCCGCTTTGATCTATAATTTATTGCGAGGAATCAATGTGGTTTCGAACTATTAGTTTGGGACCTATTTGATCTATATTTTTTGTAAAAAATCAAAGCAACTTGGAACTATAGTTCGGAACAACTTGATTCCTCGTGTTAAAATAGAACACTTTAGTTGGTTGTGAATCAAGAAAGTGTAAGAGAGATCAAGAATTTGGAAGAAGAAGAGGGGTTGGAGAGAGATAGAGATGAGAGAGATCATGTGATGAAGAGGCGAACAAAGTAGAGAATGACATTTTCTTGACCCCCACTTTCCTCTCTTATGTGCTCTTATTAATATTAAAAAGTGTAATTACAAAACCCTTAGGTATGGGAAATGAAAAACAGTCCATAAGGCCTTAAAACAAAATGCATAGAGGAAAAACATAATTATTCACAACACTCCCCCCCCCAGCTGGTGCATAGATCTCTCATGCCAAGCTTGCTTAAATCATTTTTAGTTGAGTTTTCCCCACAACTCTGATAAGAATGTCTACTAGTTGGTCTACAGTTTTAACATATGGAAGACAAATTTCATTGGTAGCAACCCTTTCTCGAATGAAATGAAGATGCACTTTTATATACTTTGTTCTATCATGCTCGACCGGATAATGAGCTATATTGATGGCTGCCTGGTTGTCACAATATGAAGACATTGACCCTTTTATGGGTAAACCAAGTTCTCGTAAGAGAATTTCTAGCCAGAGTAAATTCACATGCACCACAAGCCATAGATCTATACTCAGCTTCTGAACTTGATCTTGCTACTATTGGCTGCTTTTTACTTCTCCAAGTCACAAGGTTCCATCTCACAGAAGTACAATACCCTAATGTCGAACTTCGATCTATAATAGAACTAGCCCAGTTTGCATATGTATAGGCTTCAACTTGTAAATTCCCATGATTAGCAAACAACAGTCCTCTCTTGGGTGATGATTTTAGATACCTGAATATTCGAGTAGCAGTCTCAAGGTGGATAGTCTGTGGGGAATGCGTAAACTGATTAATCACACTAACAAGCAATGTTTCAAAAAGCGCTAGGCGGCCGTTGGGCTCCAGGCCGCCCAGCGCTTAGGCGGGCGCCCAAAATTTGAATGTCCCAGTTGAAAGAAAAAAGAATTTTTTTTGGAGAATTTTGATGTTTTATAATCTATCCATAATCCATATTTAATATTTCCATGAATGAGGAATTGAGGAGAAATTGAGAAGAGAATTTTGATAATCCATAAGATCATAATCCATATTTTCATGCAATGCTAAAATAGTAAAACCATACAAGCATACACTGATTGTCTAATACATACAAAAGTTAGATAGTAGAAACTAAAAAAAAAAAAATACAGAAATTCAAAAAATATACAGTCTAGGACACAATAGTCAACACTCAACACCAAGAGTTAAGTACTCAAGCGTCTTCAACGCTTCATTCTTTAGTCATCATCATTATCATCAATGCTTCATTCTTTAGTCATCATCATTATCATCAGAAGGTGTAGGGTAAGCCTCATCATATGTATCAGATTCGACGCCATCATCATCAGAGTCATCTTTTTCTTCAACATAACACTCGTCCTCCTCTGTTTCTTCTGAATCTGCCTCTTCCTCCTCTTTTTCTACCTCCCTCTTACTATGTGCAGATGAGGCCCTAGGAGTCTTGGCTGCTCTACCCTTTTCTATTTTTTTGTGCTTCCTTGAGCTCAAATATCTCCCTCTGGTAGCCTTAGGAACATTTTTACACGGGGCAATATCCCCCTTAATACTGACAAGGTGTTTTTTGAACCGGTAAATACCCCCATTAGTATCATTTCCACAATAATTACATTTAATACGATTTTTGTCATTCGGATTCGGGTTATAACTATACTTTCAACCCGGATCACCACTTCTGGATGAATCTGGAGAAGATATTTCCATAGAACAAGGCTCATTTTTATCCTTTTCTGGTTCTTCTAAATTCAGAAATTGTCTAATCTCATCTCGAATAGCTTTAAGAACCTTTTTACAAGAAGCAACATTCCTTTTAATACCGGCAAGGTGTTTCTTGAATCGGTTAATACCTCAATTGGTATCTTTTTCACAAAAGTTACACCTTATACAATTTTTATTATTTGGTTTCGGGTTATGACCATACTTCCAACCCGGATCACTTCTTCTAATAGAACCAGAAATAGACCTATTCAAATGACAACGATTTCGTTCTTGTTTTTGTTTTACATAACTAATATATTGCTTAATCTCCTCTCTGATTGCTTCAAGAACATTTTTACAATGGGCAACATCATTCTCAACATCGGCATGATGTTTTTTAAACCCGTTTATGCCCCTTTTGTATCTTTTTCATAATAATTGTATCTTATGCAATTTTTGTCATTCGGATTCGGGTTATAACCATATTTCCAACCCGGATTTCCACATCGACTAGATCCTAAAGCAGACATCTTAAAATAAAACTAGCAATCTAAAAAATAAAGTTTTGCACTTACTTTGATTGTTCGAACTCCAAACTTCCACCTCTGAGATGTTTTCTAGTGCTATAATATTAAAAAACTTCAAAACTAAATTTAATCTACCTGGATGATGTTTGGATCCATTTTTCATAACTTTGAGAAACACTTCGATCCAATAAAAATCTCAAAATCTAGTATTTTTGAGGTTTCTCTCTCTCTAAAATGGGTTATTGTGGGTTTAGGTTTCAAATGAACCTAAAACCCGCCCTTAAAAGCTTTTATTTTTTAAAAAAGGTCAATAGAACCAAAAAAAAAAGTCATTTTTGCCCCTGGGTGGGGCGCAGCCCTGAGTGGCCGCTCAGTACTGGGCAGGTGCCGTACCTCCTAGGCGGGCCCAAGGGCCGTCGCTTAGGCCTGGGCGATGCGCCCTGGCCTTCTAGGCGGTCCACATTTTGAATCAATGCTAACAAGATATGCAATGTATGGATGTCTAAGCAAAAGGTATATTAGTTGACCTACTAATCTTTGAAACATACCTACATCCTTGAGAGCGTCTCCCCTTTTGTCATCAAGCTTGTGGTTTTGTTATATGGGTGTTTTTACTGGTTTCACCCCAAGCTTTCCAGTTACCTTAAGGAGATCCAATATATACTTCCTTTCAAGAAAGAACTTCAGTGGGCCTAGGTTTGATTTCAAATTCTCTTGTAAAATGAACATTAAGTTTCTGAATTTCCTTAAGGTAAAAAAATCATTGACATATTCAATTAGAACCATGGTGCTCATGGTTTGTTTAATAAATAATGTACAGTCAGCATGACTTTGAATATACCCAATTCTTTGGACAGTCCCATTGAACATCTCAAACCAAGCCTGATGAGATTGTTTTAGTCCATAGATGGCCTTTCTCACGAGACACACTTTCCTTTCACATCCAGGTGAATGAAACCCTGGTGGAGGTACCATCTACACTTCTTCTTGTAATTCCCCATGAAGGAATGCATTCTTGACATCCAACTAAGGCAAGGGCCACTTAAAGTTTGCTGCGATAGACAAAAGTACTTGAATGGAATTCATTTTAGCTATAGGAGCAAACGTTTCCTGGTAGTTTATTTCTTGTCTGAGTAAACCCCTTGACAACTAATCTCGCTTTGTACTTGTCAATGGTACCATCAGCTTTGTGTTTTATAGTCAGTGTTTTAAAAAGCGCTAGGTGGCACCCAAGCGGCCGTGGAGGTCTAGGCAAGTACCCAGAACATAGGCGGCCCAGTTGAAAGAAAGATAGAAGTTTGATACAAATGTGGAGAGTTTTGATATTCTAACCACAAAATATTATAATTTTGATATTCTATCCATAATTCATATTTAATATTTCCATGAATGAGGAATTGCGGAGAAGTCGAGAAGAGAATTTTGATAATCCATAAGATTATAATCCACATTGTCATACAATGCTAAAGCAATAAAACCATATAAGCATACACTGATAGTCTGATACACACAAAACTTAGATAATATAAACTAAAAATAAGAAAAAAAAAATATATAGAAATTCAAAAAATATACAGTCTAGGACACAATAGTCAACACTCAACACTTAACAGTCAACACCAAGAGTCAAGCACTCAAGCATCTTCAACTCTTCATTCTCCAGTCATAATCATCATTATCATCATCATCGGAAGGAGCAGGGTAAGCCTCATCATATGCATCAGATTTGAGGCCATCATTATCAGAGTCATCTCCCTCTTCAATATAACGTTCGTCCTCCTCTGTTTCTTCTGAATCTGCATCTTCCTCCTCTTCTTCTTTGACCTCCCTCTTACTATGTGCAGATGAGGCCCTAGGAGTCTTGGCTGCTCAATATTCCCTTTAATACCGGGAAGGTGTTTCTTGAATTGGTTAATACCCCCATTGGTATCTTTTTCACAAAAATTATACCTTATACAATTTTTATCGTTTGGTTTTGGGTTATGACCATACTTCCAACCTAGATCACTTCTTCTAGTAGGACCAGAAATAGATCTATTCAAATGACAAGGATTTTTTTTCTGTTTTTGTTTTACGTAACTCATATATTGCTTAATCTCCTCTTTGATAGCTTCAGGGTCATTTTACAAGGAGCAACATCCCCCTTAATACCGGGAAGATGTTTCTTAAACTGGTTTATGCCCCCTTTTGTATTTTTTGCATCTAATGCAATTTTGTTATCTGTGTTATATCCATATTTTCAATCCGGATCTCCACTTCGACTAGATCCTGAAGAAGACATCTCAAAATAAAACAAGCAATCTAAAAAATAAAGTTTTGCACTTACTTTGATTGCTCGAACTCCAAACTTCCACCTCTGATATTTTTTTGGTGCTAAAATATTCAAAAACACCATCTAATATGATTAAAAAACTTCAAAACTAAATCTAATCTACCTGGGTGATGTTTGGATCTATTTTTCGTAACTTTGAAAACACTTCGATCCAATGAAAATCACAAAATCAAGTTTTTTTGAGGTTTCTCTATCTCTAAAATGGGTTCTTGTGGGTTTAGGCTTCAAATGAACTTAAAACCCACCTTTAAAGGCTTTTATGTTTCACAAAAACTCAATAGAATAAAAAAAAAAAAGTCATTTCTACCCCTGGGCAGCCGCCTAGGCGGGTGCCGTACTGCTTAGGTAGCCGTCCAGGGACCACCACCTAGGGTGATGCGCTTAGGCCTTCTGGACCGCCTAGGCATTGGGCAGACTGCTTTTTGAAACACTGTTATAGTGTAAATCCATTTGCAGCCAACTAACTTCTTTCCTTCGGGAAGGTTCACTATCTCCCAGGTACCACTCTTAAGTAAAGCTCTAATCTCCTCACACAGCCTCCTTCCACTTAGGATGAGTTAGGCTTTGTAGCACAGGAAGGGATGGAGACAAAAGGCAAAGAGGGCACAAAAGCATGGTTGGGAGGATACAAGGACTCATAAGACACAAAATTGCTAATTGGGTAAGCAGTACAACTACGTTTATTTTTCCCTACAGCAATGGGCAAATCCAATTGTTCACACTAAGAATTGATGAAAACAAAATCAGGATTATTTGGATCATAGGTATGAGACTGGCTCTGAGACATGTAAGCTACGATGGTCTCCATTTCTTTTTGTTTCTGCTGAGTACAAGCCTTTAATTGCCCTTTTTCAGCTTTGACGTCACAAGAATGCTCTCCACTACCCTCCTATGTCCTTGAGTAAGAAAAAACAGGAACATGAAGGGGAGCATGAGAGCTCTCTTCCACACTGTGCTCCCTTGAAGAGAGGTAGGGAGGAACATGAAGGGGAGCATGAGAGCTCTCTTCCACACTGTGCTCCCTTGAAGAGAGGTAGGGAGGAACATGAAGGGGAGCATGAGAGCTCTCTTCCACACTGTGCTCCCTTGAAGAGAGGTAGGGAAGATAGGAGTAGATTCAAAAAAGGTTACAACCATGGAAACAAATTTCTTCATTGATACTAAATCATAGCATTTGTACCCTTTTTGAGATGAAGGATAATCGAGGAAAATACATTTTATGGACTTAGGGTCTAACTTTGTATGACTTGGACCAAGAACATACATGAAACAAGTACAACTAAAGACCTTAAGAGGAACACTAAAGTGTGGACGATCAGGATGGAGAAGTTTATAGGGCGATTTATATTTAGAACACGGGAGGGTATTTAATTGATGAGATAGGATGCAATAAGCACAACTTCAGATTAGTACTTCTTGGGTATGTTCATACTTAAGAGAAGAGCATGCTCAAGGGGTTGTGGGTTTTTTCTACCAATTGGGGGCCCTCCCTTCACCACCCCCATGGGGATGGTCTACAGGGTTCATAACTACTCCTCTTACTACACACCGAGAGTAATCATCTACAAAAGAAACAAAATAGCAATAACAAAAAATAGAAGTCATAAGAGATGGAGCCCATACATCAGAATGAACAACAACAAAAGGAACAATACTTTAATTATTACTGGTAAAAAAAAAATGTTTCTACAATGTTTTGAAAGTTCACAAACTTCACATTGAAGCTTTGCACACTTGTAGAAGTAAGCAACTTAGGAAAAAGAAACGATTAAAAAGACAAATGACCAAGTCGGAGATGCCATTGCCAAATCCAATCTTTATTAACAATACTATGGAACTATAGAGCGTGTGGAGTAGTAATATGCAGGTCAAGAATGTAGAGACCACCAACTTCATGACCCCTGCCAATTGTCTTCTTCATATCCAGGTCCTGAAAAATACAACAGGAAAGAAAGGTTACACTACAATAGACTCTTGGTAATACTACTAATAGACATCAGGTTTGTGTTAAAGCTGGGAACATGAAAAATTGATGATAGAGACAATTGCAGTGAAATATTTATATTTCCATTACCAGCAATGGACGAGAAAGAACCATCAACAATTATAACTTTTGTCTCTACTAGAACAAAGAGAATAAGAGAAAAACAAAGGAGACATACTAGTAATATGATATGAAGCGTCATAATCAATAATCTAGGACTGTCCAGAAGGATAAAAGGAAACATGGTTAGCAAAAGCATGAATACTTGAAGTCGATGAAGCATTATGTGCATTGAATTGCCCGGGGCAATTGAATTTTGCAGGTCGACCAACTAAATCCCAGTAATTCTCCTTAATGTAACTGCTGTAGGGTATTTTTCGACACTTGCATCGCCGGTGCAAATAAAGAAGATGCCAGTTGCAACCTAGGCCTACATGTACCAAAATGCCTGTGGACTACGGAAGCACTGATTGAATAAATCTTGATTTTTGAGTGAATTTTGAAAGGTATAAGATTGGTCCCAAAAAGTATGTGAAGATGGCATTTGGCGCCCTAAGGACGCCCGCCAAGTTTCTTTGTGATCCGACAAAGTTAAAGCAGATCAGACGAAAACTTAATTCTCAATTCTAGTTTCTAACATGCTGAAAATGTGCTTCATAGCTGCAGCCCTATTATCGGGGTCTTAGATGAATACCAGACCGCTTCCCCAGATATCAAATTTTAGTTTATTTGGACGCTTCTGGACCATTCTAGAGCCAACTTACCAAAAAAGGGTAGCTTTTACACTATTCTGGTGCAGCCTCGATGAACCAGTTTCCATTTCTGGAAGCTATGCTATGTGAGCTCGGGATTATCCTCTAAAGGTCATAACTTCTCCGTTTTAAGCCCGATCAAACCCAAATTTCAGAGGGTTCTTCGTCTCGTCATTGCACACGTTTTGATATGCGGAGAGGCCCATGACGAGGCCCAAGATGAGAGAAATCCTAGAGAGTAGTTGCATTAAAAAACACTCATGTATTGCAGAATTTTTGAAAGAGAGAGGCCCCTTGATCAAGTGGCCGTGTCATGAAGCCTCGACCTCGGATCGTCTCGAAATGGTTCCGTTGGGACCACGACATCGGAGGCTTCTATTTGAGGTAAAGATCGTACATGATGCAAGACCAAAAGACACTATATTTTGAAGTTACAAAAGGGTATATTTTTCAGTGAATAATCCCATTTTTCGGCGACTTCCCCAATTAGGAAACTGACGTTACAACAACCAAATCGAGTGATTCTTGTCACAAAATGACCGTGGCGGCATCCCTGTCAATATATGATGAAAGGATCGACCTGAAACATCAAGCAACAAACAAGATCGAGCGTTGAAGATTTCAAGTTTATCATCTTTTGCTAGATTTTCAAGGAGGGTTTGAAACTTTGAAGTCAAGATTAAAATTATATGTCAAAATGATCGTCTCGTCAAGCCCGTCATTTCTACGATATTATTTTCATCAAAAGGTCGCCGGAAGTGCTCGAAAACGACCCCGAACCATGAATATGGCCTATGGAGCCTTTTTGCGGACCTTTTGGTCATTTTCATGATTCTGGCTAGGGGCAAAACTGTCATTTAGCCCCAAAAACGGGATTCACTCTTAATTCAAGAAAAATTTAATATGTGACAATTTTCTTTGCTTTTAGTCATCCACCCTTGTTTCAAGGGGATGATATATAAGCATTAAGGCATTTGTAATCCTGAGTTTTGAATGCTGAAAAGGTTGAGAGAGAATTAATGAAAATCATTGAGCTTGTCCGTTTTGGTTTTGATTTTTGATTCTATCTTCCCTACCTTAAAGAGAGGAGAGAGAAAACTTTTACCCATTAAGGATTACTCTTAGAACCCCTCATTTCCAACCTAGAATCCCTCCTTTCAACCTAGAACCCTTCACTTCCATCTTCCATAGTCCTCATTCCCATATACCCTAGACTCATCTTCCATAGTCCTAATTTCCATACACCCTAGACCTATCTTCCATAGTCCTCACTTTTGTATACCCTAGATTGAAGGGGGGAGAAGGTGCACACCACCAGCCTTTGCCCTTAGAGCTCAGGGCAGTCAGGGGACTAGGGGTGACTTGGGGGTCGACCCGAGCTCGGATAGAAGGCTCGGCTTCAGGAATGCTGACCTTACGAGCTAGTGCACGTGATGAAGTGTCCTTGTGACCATTACCCATGGGGTGTGCAGGCACGTGCAAATGGGGTTGACGAGAAGGCCGTCACCTGTGTGTTTGCCAGGGTGTAGCTTTTGAGCCGTCTGGAGCAGAGTGTTGAAGGTGCATCATGCTAGGTGCAGCGACCTTCGAGTCGCTCTTGTTTGTGAGACCACGTTCTAGGAGACCTGGCATGTGATGGTGGACCAGGGTAGCCTTAAGGCTGCCCCGAGATGTAGAACCAATGGATGAATTGCTAGTCCTCGTAAGTGGGTGAGAGGGAGTTTCTCCTCTTTGTGTCGAACTGCCGGGAAAACTGGCGGTTTAGAGTGATTGAGAGTGACGAGTGGCCCTATGGCGACCCACAGAGGCAATGACAGGTAGGTTACCAATTGCAGAAGGGCGAGGGGTGGCCTTTTGGTGGCCTCGAGTAGCAAGACCGGCAAGTGACTTGCCAGTAATTGGGTGAATGCAATGGGTGGTGGTTTTCGGGCCACCAATGCAAGTGACACCAACGGCTGGGCCATTGATGCCGGAAGATGGGGAGCAAGGCTCTTGGGAATCCCTTCTTGCCTCAAGTCGAGTCGAAAACCGAGGGCGTGAAGCATGTTCAATGCTCAGGAGGAAAGTGGGAAGCGAGGTTCGTGAAACCCCATCCCCGAAGGACAAGCTCGCAAGTGTGGGGATTATGAAATCCCTAACTCGGACATGGGGTTCAACAACGCCGGAGCCATGTGTGTGTAGTGGGCAGAATGCTTAGCAAGCAAACTAGGCTAACGATGGGGTAGCAAGGTCCCCAGTGGAGTCGCCAAGTTAGTTGGGCCTCGATCTCGTCGGGTTAGTCCGTGAGTGGGGACCCAGAAATGGGGTTGGTTCGAGAATGCTCTCTCGAAAACTGCGGTACCCATAGGGGCCGTTTGGGTACCTGAAAATATATTGTCTGTGAAATATATTAGTGGCGTAATATATTACTGCGTAATACATTACCTGTAAATGGATTGTTACTGTTTGGGTAGTATTTAGATGCAACCTGAGAAATGCATTGTTATTGTTTGGCTATGTTTAGAAGAAATATAAGAAATGCATTACCAACATTTTACCAGCACGTGCCTATAAACTATCATTTCTTTCTTTTTTGTCACAAAATTCCACTAAAATGCAGAATTATAATTTCCTTCTTTTTTGTTACAAAATTCCACTAAAATATAAAATCATCATCACACCATTCCAAAAAGATTTCTAATAATAACATTATCACCATTCCAAAAAGATTTTCTAATAATAACTTGTACCATTTTACAGTCATGACACTATTTTCTACTTATTTTAAGTACCTTTGGCACTTATATGCAATCACATGTTTTCTAATATGACATTGGTTTCAACATGATAAGTCATTGGAACAATATGATTGGAATAAGATGATTTTATTATGATAAGCCTTATTTTTATTTATTTTTTATAGAAGTCTTTCAAATGTATCTCTATATAATTTCAAATAAACCAATAAATTTATGATACTAAATTCAAAATCGGTAGAGTACGAGTTAAAAAATGGGAAGAAGTTTGATTAGTAAACTAGTATGTTTGGTAATTGCAGTATACAATTTTGAGGTATTGGAGGAGACTAAAGAGTTATGTTATTTCAATTGAGATTTTAGTAATCTCTTATGAGGATTATGTTGTGTGAAATTTTTTATTATGATTGTGTTGTGTAATTTATCATTGATTACTGATTTTTATTTTTATTTATTTTGTTTTTATATGACACGGATGCCTTCAGATGAGGGGACGAGCTTAAAAAGGGAGGGATCACATTATGTTGTGTGAAATTTTTTATTATGACTGTGTTGTGTAATTTATTATTGATTATTGATTTTTATTTTTATTAATTTTGTCTTTATATGACAACTGATGCCTTCAGATAAGGGGACGAGCTTAAAAAGGGAAGGATTACCTAGTTATTATGAAGAGAGAGGGCTTAGAAGATCTTTTTAATGAGGGATAGGATAGGCAATGCGAAAGATTTCTCAAAATTACCCGTCACTCTCGTAAGAGATTTTTCACCTATCACCGCGTGTAATGGATTTCCTGATTTTTGGAGAAATCTCGTGTAATCTCTTTCTATTTTCTTATTATTAAGTGTACCCAAAAAGTGGAAATGCCATATTTCCTTGTAATCTAGATTTTCAGGTACCCAAACGGCCCCGTAGTGTACATGTGGGTAGGTACCAACTAAGGAGAGAGAATTAGGGGTGTGAGGCGGGACCTACCTCACGGTGGGTTCGTGACACTCCCAGGCATGCGGGACGCCCTTTAGATCACTGTGGAAAGCCCCCTAGCCTGTGGATGGTCTGGCTTTGGCTCCCTTGCTGTACCCAGCGCCTCGTAAACACACATACGTAAGATGGTCGGACAAGTGGGTCGAAAGATCCCGACTTGTCGTTAGAGAGATGATTTATTGAGAATATAACTGTGGGGGGAGGGGGAGATGAAGTAGATTAAGAAGTTGAAGAGAGGATAATGAGGATCACTTGTTAGTCAGACAGCCTTCCGGCGTCACCCTGATAGGTAGCCTGATAATAGTAGTAGTAATAGTAGTAGTAATAATAATAATAATAATAATAATAATAGCAATAATAATAATAATAATATGAAGGGAGTAAGAGTTTTGTAGAAAGAATGCAAAGGGTGGTAAGAAAATGATATGCATAAATAGAGAGGGACAGAAAGAGATGTAAAGAAGAAAGGATAACG